TAAACGATCATAGGCTCTTTCAAATAAGTTTGTGAAAGTCGACGAATGGCATCTGGCCAAGTTGCACTTGTCATAATCATTTGCCGATCTGGGCGCACATCTAATAAAATCTTCATTATCTGAGGTTGAAATCCCATATCTAGCATCTTATCAGCTTCATCTAAGACTAAGTAGGTTATGCTTCTAAGGTTGACAAAATTATTCATTTGCAGATCATGCAGTCGCCCAGGAGTTGCAATAATGATGTCTATGTCTTTGGCAACGTCTTTTATTTGTTGTTGTCTACTTCCACCGCCGTATATACAAATACTTTTAAGATTTTTATATGCATACTTAGAACATTCATTTCGTACCTGGAGAGCTAATTCTCTAGTCGGTGTAAGGACTAGCATGCCGGGACCGTTCCTCTGTTCTCTGGGTGTTGGTTGAGAATTGATGTGAATAAGCCCAGGCAATAAATAAGACAAAGTTTTGCCTGTTCCCGTCTGGGAGACTCCTACAAGATCTATCCCTTGTAGAACAATCGGCCACACCTGTGATTGAATTGGCGTTGGCTTTTGAAACCCTGCTTTTTGAATGTATTTCATTAATTCAGGATAATTCTGGAAAGCGTCCTCAAATTTAATAGTTGGGTTGGGGATAGACCGTTTTTCACCATCTTTCAAATCATCACAAATTATATTGAAATGTTCCTTCCTCCAAAGGTCTGCCTGCATTTGAGACAGAGAACTTGTTGCTTTGGATTCTATGTAAAAGTCTTTTTTAATTGGTGCTAAGCCTTCCCATCTTCTTGTTTCCCAGTCTGTCGCTCTTGCCTTAATTCGATCCCAGTCTATGAATGGTCGAACTTCTCTAACAGTGTTAACTGTGGTTAAGTCTCTTGCAACAGCTGGTTGGGTTGCAGCATTATTAACAGTGCATTCTGAATATTGGTAGTTGCTTCCTTGTCTTTCAACAATAGTCTCTATAACTGCTTTGGCCTTTGCTTGCATTTCCTTGCTGCCAAAAATGTTTACGTCTGCTTCGGAATCACCCTGTACCG